GTTGTTTAGGAAAATAATTGTGTATGCTGACTGAATGTTATCGAGAAATGTCGAAATTAATCACAAACTACCTGTTTCGTTAGTAATGACTACTAGAACTGTTTGCATTGCCATCTAACATTTGCGGGCGGAAACTAAGTTAAGGTCCTAATATAAAATATTAAATATCCGCACGTTATAACAAGATTTAATTGCACATATTCTTACTGTTGCAGTTCTTTTTTCGTGCAAACATGCATAAATTTAACAGCAACTTTATTAGTCAACTTTTCAAGATACCTTATAAGTGGTTCATATTTATCATTTAGAATGGCGAAATAGAAATATGAGAGAAAAGAACGACAAAAAATTTTTTTCACGCAATATATTATGCAAAATTAATTTAGAAAAATCTCGGAGAAACTTTTAGTAAATTTGTTGCTACACTGTAACAAAAAGATTACATTATTGCACGATGTAAATTTATCAATTAATTCGACATAAAATATTTGTCTTATATACATAATTAAAGCAATTGCTAAATTTTCATCACTGATTGTCTCACGTCGTGATAATTATGAAAGTATATCTGGGATATGCGTAAACATGTTCAGGATTAAAAAAATTTATACAGATCCGAAAAAAGATTAAAAGCATCGATAAAAATCCCTCTCCTATTCTGTTGGCAACCGGAAATCTTATCATTCATTTGTGGAACACGTTCGCCAATATTCTGTCGAATATTTCGCAAAGTTTGCGTAAGTATTCGCGTAGCGGAGTGGAACGAAGACGAAGATAACGACAGAAAGAGAGAGAGAGAGAGAGAGAGAGAGAGTCGCGGTCGTTATCTAACCGAAAATCACGCTCTCAATTTACCTTATGATCTTATTGATTTTAACACATTTCTCTTTATCAATAATAAATATAAGCCGTGGTTGATTGGAAATACGTTTTGCGATAAGAATAAAGTAAATGATACTTGCTAAATGTGTAATTTTTTATAGTTTTGAAAAACTATTCATTTTTTCCTATTCTTTTTCCTATTCATTTTTTCCTATTCTTTTCTTTCGCATCCTATTCATTTACGACAAATCATTGATACTATGATTGTACAAAGATTGCGCATTGTTTGTGAGACATACATGCGTGTAAATTGCGAATCTCATGCAAATATTCTGCAAAATTGGATTGATTACTGCATTCCCTGGATAAAGAGAATATCTGTCATCGACAGATATGATAATCCGTCAATTCGCATCTTGATAACACGTTGCAAGTATATAAAAGCCAATTAATGCCATCACTCACGCATTTAGACTGAACCGTGCAGTGCCAATAGGACCTACGACATACACTTCCTTCCTTCCACTTTTGAGAATAGGTGATAAGGTGATGAAGGGTGAGTATTCATATATACAGTAAATTTTTCCAATAAGACAATTGCAATTAAACGATCGCATTATATCATACCATAAGTGTATCTTGCGCAATGTGTTTTTCCACAATAACTCCAATTTCGAATCATTAATTAATTCTTAATTAATTAAATAGTATTATTTAATCGATTTTGACTAAATTTTGCTATTCGAAACAGGGATACACTTAATCGCCATCGCCACCGTCTTCTTGGCATCATGGAGCGTCATCAACGCAGAGAAAGAGGAATTTGATGAAATTCCTACAGAGTGTCCAGCCAACGATCCAATAGGCACAACGATCCATCTTGCTCACGAGAGCGATTGCACGAAATTCTACATGTGTAGCGCGGGTCGTAAAATCTTACAACAATGTCCCTATATGAACGACAAGGGTGACAGACTGCATTTTAATCCGCGCCTTCAAATCTGCGACATGCCGGATCACGCCGGTTGTAAAAACAAAAAATTCGATCAGGATCTAGATGAAAAACTAAACGTGAAATTTATGGAAGAGGAAGAACACTATGGACCAATCCTCATGGGCAAAATTCCTAAAAAGTGTCCAGCCAAGGACCCGATGAACACAACGATCCATCTTGCTCATGAGAGTGATTGCACGAAATTCTACAAGTGCCATGCAGGTAGAAAGATCTTGCAAGAATGTCCCTATATGAACGACAAGGGTGACAAGCTGCATTTCAATCCGCGCCTTCAAGTCTGCGACTGGCCGGATCAGGCTGGTTGTAAGAACTCCGGTGGAGGTGGAGGTGGAGGTGATAATCAATGTCCTGATAGAAATCCTTCTAACGAAACGATTCTTCTCCCACATGAATGGGATTGCACAAAGTTTTATATGTGCCTCGGGCGTCAAAAAATAGAAAAAGATTGTCCCTTCATGGACGATAAGGGTAACCGATTGCACTTCAACCCGCGTCTCAAAGTTTGCGATTGGCCAGATAAAGCAGGCTGCGATGGCAACGATCATGGTAATTGTAAGGATGGTGTTCTGTTACCACACGATTGCAATTGCGCCAAATATTACAAGTGCGTGAAGGGCGAAAAAGTCTTGGGCGAGTGTCCAAAGGATCTGTACTTCAGCAAAAAAGATCAGGGCTGCGTCAAGTACGGGGACTCGGACTGCGAGAGAAAGTCACGATATAAGTGCACCCGGGAGGGCGAGCTGATACCTCACGAATGCGACTGTACCAAATATTATAAGTGTCGAGAAAAGGATCAGGTGTTGCGGCACTGCAAAAACGGTGAGCACTTTAGCCCGAAACGTCGAAGGTGCGAGGACAAAGACAAAGCCGGTTGCGAAGGCAATGGCCACCCCTCTGATGGCGATTGCCCGAAACCTAGACCTAAACACCCATGGCGTCACCACTGCGATTGCAGATTGTTCTACCAGTGCGAAAACGGGAAGATGCGTTTGTACGAATGTCCCTGGGGATATTACTACGATTTAAAGAAAGATAAATGCTCCCGTAAAAGTGAAGTAGATTGTAAAAATCATAATGAAGATAAGAATGTGGAGAATTAATCTTAGAAAATCTTAGGAGGTAAATAAAAAGAAGATCAAAATACAGACGAGCGCAAAAAGCAAATTGTACGTCCGATATAAAATCATACTGTATATTCATAAGTAAACTTCTCTAAAATATTTTAATAAATCGAACAACGTATAACCATGTCCTTTGAAGATTTCTCTCGATTCAAGCCTCGGATAACGCGCATCAGCAATTTCGTCGTTTTCATTTTCGATTGAAATAAAACATTCCGGAACATAATAACTCAATTGTGACGGAACCACTATAAATATCTATGATCGCATATAATCGCAATGTAGATGCAAATATGTACATTATTATAAAGAGTTATACTTAGATAGACATATGAAAAAACGACTTCCCGCGCGTTGCTTAATTAATTATAGTTTACTAAAAATATATTTTTTGTTGCAACCAAAAAGCTGCTGTAACTAAAATTTTTGCTACTGAATAAAAATTTTTGCTGCTAAAGGACCCCGCATAAAACCTATGGAAAATGGTTTTCGGTTAAATTAGCTGAAATTTCACTATGTTATAGTTTTCGCCATGCTGATAAAAAGTTATCATTGCACCAAGTCCCAAAAGTCAATATTTCCCAAGATATAAAGGGTCAAAGTAGTGAAATATGGTCATCCGCAGTATTAAGACGTATGTTATAAGTATAAGTAATACATTGATATTTATTCACGAAATAAATAAAAATCGATTTTTACATATATATATATATATATGTAATAAATATTTAGTTTCGCAATATATATGTATATACAGGATGGGGCAAAAGTATCGGACTGGTGAAATATCTCGAAAAATATAAGTTTTGACCTTGGCAACGCCACCCAAGATCAATCTGCTAAAATCAGTAAATACAATAGATCTTTTTAAGATCTGAAACAGTTTTTTATAAAACTTATATTTTTCGAGATATTTCAACGGTCCAATATTTTTACCCCACCCTGTATATACATATACATATATATTGCGAAACTAAATATTTATTACATATATATATATATATATGTAAAAATCGATTTTTATTTATTTCGTGAATAAATATCAATGTATTACTTATACTTATAACATACGTCTTAATACTGCGGATGACCATATTTCACTACTTTGACCCTTTATATCTTGGGAAATATTGACTTTTGGGACTTGGTGCAATGATAACTTTTTATCAGCATGGCGAAAACTATAACATAGTGAAATTTCAGCCAATTTGACCGAAAACCATTTTCCATAGGTTTTGTGCGGGGTCCTTTTTACTACTATATAGTAGTTTATGGTAGTAGTATTAAATCTATATAGATTTTATAGCTAAATATGCGCCTATTAGCAATTATAAGATATTTTTAGGTATCCACACGTTATAACAAGATTTAATTACGCATATTCTTACTGCTGCAGTTCTTTTTCCGTGTAAACATGCATTAATTTAACAGCAACTTTATTAGTCAACTTTTCAAGGTACCTTATAAGTGGTTCATATTTATCACTTAAAATGGCGAAATAGAAATATGAGAGAAAAGAACAATAAACAATTTTTTCACGTCATATATTATGCAAAATTAATATAAAAATTTCGGTGAAACTTTTAGTAAAATTGTTGCTACACTATAACAAAAAGATTACATTATTGCATGATGTAAATTTATCGATTAATTCGACACAAAATATTTGTCTTATACAGGGTGTCCGGTAACTGATCGAGCAACCGCCATGTACAGGTAAAACGGGTCAAAATAATCATAAAAGTTATATATCATTCTGAAATTTTCTCAATATTTATTCCGTAATTAATTAAAATGTATAAACGAATGCTCACGAGAAGCGGTAGAACAGGCTCTGTATGTAAAAGAAATGGGTTACCTTTTAACAACGATGAGTAAACAGCTGATTTCGAAGCGGAATAACGTATATGTGTCGCTTGTTACTCCGCTTCGAAATCACGCACTCAATTTACCTTGTGATCTTATTGATTTTAATACATTACTCTTTATCAATAATAAATAAAAGCCGCGGTTGATTGGAAATACGTGTTGCGATAAGAATAAAGTGAATGATACTTGTTATATGTGTAATTTTTTATAGTTTTCAAAAGCATTCTATTCATTTCTTCCTATTCTTTTCTTTCACATCCTATTCATTTACGACAAATCATTGATACTATGATTGCACAAAGATTGCGCGTTGTTTGTGAGACATACATGTGTAAACTGCGAGTCTCACGCAAACATTCTCATGCGAAATTGGATTATTGCACTTCCTGGATAAAGAGAATATCTGTCATCGACAGATGTGATAATCCGTCAATGCGCATCTTGATAACACGTTGCAAGTATATAAAAGCCAATTAATAGAATCACTCTCGCATTTAAACTGAATCGTGCAGTGCCAATAGGACATACATACAATAGTGCCATACGACATACACTTTCTTCCTTCCACTTTTGATAAGAAGATGAAGGGTGAGTATTCATATATAAAGTAAATTTTACCAATAAGACAATTACAATTAAACGATCGCGTTATATCACACGATAAGTGTATCTTGCGCAATGTATTTTTCCATTGACTCTAATTTCGAACCATTAATTAATTCTTAATTAATTAAATAGTATTATTTAATCGATTTTGACTAAATTTTGCTTTCCAAAACAGGGATACACCTAATCGTCATCGCCACCGTCTTCTTGGCGTCGTGGAGCGTGATCAACGCAGAGAAAGAGGGATTTGATGAAATTCCTACAGAGTGTCCAGCCGAGGATCCGATAGGCACAACGATCCATCTTCCTCACGAGAGCGATTGCACGAAATTCTACATGTGTAGCGCGGGTCGTAAAATCTTACAACAATGTCCCTATATGAACGACAAGGGTGACAGACTGCATTTCAATCCGAGTCTTCAAGTCTGCGACATGCCGGAACGCGCAGGTTGTGAGAACAAAAAATTCGATCGGGATCTAAATGAAGTAAACGAGCAAATTATCAAACATCATAGACCAATCCTCATGGAGGGAGTTCTCACAGAGTGTCCAGCCAACAATCCGACAGGCACAACGATTCATCTTGTTCACGAGAGCGATTGCACGAAATTCTACACATGCGTTGCGGGTAATAAGATCTTACAAGAATGTCCCTATATGAACGACAAGGGTGACAAACTGCATTTCAATCCGGGCCTTCAAGTCTGCGACTGGCCGGAACGCGCCGGTTGTGAGAACAAAAAATTCGATCGGTATCTAAAGGAAATGCTAAACAAAATACAAAAGAAGCAAATTATCGGACATCATAGACCAATCCTCATGGAGGAAATTCCTACAGAGTGTCCAGCCAAGGACCCGATAGGCACATCGATTCATCTTGCTCACGAGAGCGATTGCACGAAATATTACAAATGCGTTAAAGGTAATAAGATCTTACAAGAATGTCCCTTTATGAACGACAAGGGTGACAGACTGCATTTCAATCCGCGCCTTCAAGCCTGCGACTGGCCGGATGTGGCTGGTTGTGAGAACAAAAAATTCGATCGGCATCTAGATAAAGTACTAAACGTGCAAATTATCGAACATTATAGACCAATCCTCATGGACGAAATTCCTACAGAGTGTCCAGCCCAGGATCCAATAGGCACAACGATCCATCTTGCTCACGAAAGCGATTGCACGAAATTCTACATGTGTCGCGCGGGTAGTAAAATCTTACAGGAATGTCCCTATATGAACGACAAGGGTGACAGACTGCATTTTAATCCGAAGCTTCAAGTCTGCGACATGCCGGATCGCGCCGGTTGTGAAAACAAAAAAATTTAATCGGGATCTAAATGAAGTAAACGTGAAATTTATGAAAGAGGAAGAACACGTGAAAAGTAAATTGTATATTCGCTAAAAACATATTTTATTTGTAGATATAGAATAATATGTATTTTTATAAATAAAAGATATAGAATAATATGTATTTTTATAAATAAAAGATATAGAATAATATGTATTTTTATAAATCTATAGGTCTATTTCTATAAATGGATTTGTATAAATTTAGATCTATCTTTTTATAAAGGTATTTTAATAAATCTGATAGTATTTAACCATCTTTTGAAAATTTCTTTCTCTATTCAAGTCTAATAAATGCCGACACGTTGCCGACTTAAGCATTGTTGTTTCCAATTCAGATTAAACCTTTCGAAATATTATAATTTTTCCTAATAATATCCGACGAACAAATAAAAATGCCGATCATTGCATATAATCGCAATGCAAATACATATATAAGTATAATAATATATAATAAAGATTTATATCTAGGTAGACACACGGAAAAAAAATTTCGCTACCACAGCTAATTATGTCGAAAATGTATTTGTTGTTGAAACAAAAAATCTGCGATGATTAGGACTTTTGTGTGCTACTGTTAGTACTATATCGATTATATAGTTAAATATATATACTAACGGTTGTACTTTTAGATATCCGTAGGTTACAAAGAAATTTAGCTACTACATACAGATCGTTACTGACATAGCTTATTTTTCCGTGCAGATATGCATAAATTTAACAGCAATTTTATAATCAACTTCTATTTTGCGTCGCTTATGATTTCTCATTCATATTTATCACACTATTAATGAAATAGAAATGCAAAAAGAATAATTGCTCAAAAGTTGATTGAAGCAATAAGTTATGCGAAATATAATATGAAAATCTGAGTGTAACTTTTAATAAATTTATCGCTACATTAACATAACAGAAAGCTTACATTATTGTATGATGTAAATTTAATGATAAATTCAACATGATATATTTGTCTCTCATAAGTATAATTAAAAAAATTGCAAAGTTTTCATCATCGATTATCTCTCATCGTGATAATCATGAAAATCTATCTGGCACATCTTCCCGTTTAAGATTAAAAAATTCGTACAGATTCGAAAACAGATTGAAGATATCGATAAAAATCCCTCCCCCCGTTCTCTTGGCAGTCGGAAATCGTATCATTTATTTGTGAACTGCGTTCGCCAAGACCAGCGAATATTTCGCAAGGTTCGCGTAAGTATTTGCGTAGCGAGCGGAGTGAAGACAATGGCAACGACAAAGAGTGGGAGAGGAATAGAGAGAAAGCGAGATAGAGAGAGATATAGAAAGATAGAAGGAGGGAGAAAGAGAGAGTGAGAGAGAGCGGCAAAAAGCGGAGAAACACCGGTAGCGTTTCGATTCCGGTGACACAGTGACACGGAGCCTATCAGCCGAACCCCTCTCTATTCGGCGGCCATTCCTGATAAATAGAACGGTACCGGGAACAGTGTCGCGAGACCCGACAATGGGCCGCCGGAAGACCGGGGCAGCTTTAATTTCCCCCCGCAGTTCCTGGCAATTACCGCGTGGCGCGGCCCGATAGCCATCTCTATCTCCGACCACAATGCCGCCAGTTCCGACGCACCCCGTTCCTTGCCACCTTGCCAGCGATTTACCCATCCCTGCCTCACCCCCGCCCACGGTTCCTCTTCCGAGGCGAAGCGTCGTCGATCTTCGACGACTTTTCTCACCGCGACATGACACACGAGCTGTCCGTTCACTGTCCCTACGAACGAACTTGCCCTGAATGTTAGCAAATTATCGACTGAAGCCACCCCTTCTCCCCGGAATATCGAGGAATTTATACTACCCCTGGAGATTTACTCCATTGTCCTGATCAGGTTGACCTCAATCAGTTATCTGGTTTGTGCATAAGTTGTGACATTGTCGGGTCCTGACAAGTTATATGACGCAGCGCGGCAATTAGAATCTCGTTAATAATAAGGATTATTAATAATCAGAATTTTATGAATAATTAGGATCCAGTAACATCGCCTTATACAAGCTTCATCACTGATTGGGATTCATCCGATCAGGACTACGGAATAAATTTCTAGCCGGGATGATTTTACGCGATAGTCTTGGAGTGCGTGGGAAGAACGGGGCGCATGTGGGAGACACGGTGGAGTTTGGATTGGGTGTTTAACAACTCGCGGCTGAACTCCTTGGAGGAGTTCGCGAATGGTTCGGGACGATTGGAGCGCGACTGCTTAAGTTCGGCTAACGGAGAAAGAAGAAGAGAAGAGGAAAACGGGTGTGCGCGAGAGGTGGAGGCGGAGGCGAAGCGGCGACGAAACCATCCGCTCCTCTCTTGACCCTCTTCCTCTCTCTCTCTCTCTCTCTCTCTCTCTCTGTTTCTCTCATTCTCGCTACCTCGCTCTCTCGCTCTCTCTTTCCCATGGCAACATTATCGTGTTTTAATTTAACTTGCAGCTGCACTTTAATTAGACTTTGGCTGAATGAGGAGATGACGCTCGACGGGCAAAGCGAATAAGGACTGGCAAGTAAACGGGAGGCGAAGCGAGCGAACTCCATTCCTCACCCATTTCCCTGAGACCCCCGCCTGCCCGTCTACCTTCCCTTGTGCCACCTTTTCCTTCTTCATCTATCCACGGTTACACAGAAAATTCAAATGATAAGGAAAGAGCGCGCGCGCGCCGGAAAAGGAAGGTAATTGGCCGATGCCGACAATGCGTTGTCGGCGACGTCGCTTCTACTCGATTTTTCCTCATCTCTCCGCGACTCCGCAGTGAAAGAGAGAGAGAGAGAGAGAGAGAGAGAGAGAGAGAGAGAGAGAAAGAAAGAGAGAGAGAGATTCTTTGAGATACATAAGTGTCTTCAAGATGATTGTAGATTGAAATTCGTACAATTTCCCGGGACATTCCGACCTTACTGCATCCTCTATTCATACCTACGCGCTCACTGCTTCATCGCCTGAAATATATCTCTCGATCGTAGCACGTCGTTTAGCGGATTTCAGAAGGATGTCGGGGTCCACTTTGGAAAAGAAAACCGCCATATCCCCGCGTCGCTTCTTCTCGCGACTGCTGCTCGATATATATCGTTCGCCAGCTCGCGCGACTCGCCGGCGAGACGCCAGCTACTTTCTCCTCCGCCACGACCGGCGCATTCTCCGCGAAACTTGCGACGCGAAGCGCAATAAATCTCCCGGCTCTTTCGCTCGCGCAGCGTCTCGCGTCGCTCGAAATAATGACACGGCGAAGCCATGGGGACTCGCGTAAGTCGGTTTTCAATGGCACCCCTCGTCTCTCTCTCCAGCACGCGCATCTCTTCGCGCTTAATGAACGCCGAAACTGTCGCCGAAGCCTCGCCCGTGCGCGGCGCCTTTTCCGCCCTTCTACGCGACTCATAGGCACTGTGCCTTCGCGCAACAATCGCAACAATGGAACGAGCATTCGTACTTCGACGATCGACATCAAAGGCGATCGCGAAGTCTTATTGCGACACCGCGTACGTTCGACCGGGAGATTAAGCGGGATGATCGAATTTGGACGGGGTCGAAATCGCGTATGCCATCCTCTCTCTTTCTCTCTTTCATCTTCTCGCATACGTAGAACATTTTTGTTCAACCATCTAACTTACCAATAATGTCATTTGCAAGACTTATGTTACGTCACTGGGATATACTCATATCAAAGCCAAAATTTATACATGACAGCAATAAATTAATATTTTCATCAGATATATATTTTGTAATCTGATGACATATATACACAGAAAAATATTATTCCCCAGCTCAAAAAAGCGGCTACTTAGTTCACTGTTCTTCTTTTTCTTTTTTAATAATTTTCAACAAGACATTTTTTTATAATAACGTTAGAATACATTCATCATTAATTTTGAAAAAGCTCATTATCATATATTCAAAAGAAGAATTTATTCTTCTTTACAATATTCTCCTTATAATATTATAAAACTTTGTCGAAGGAAAAAGAAAAAATTGGTCTAATTCTAGTAAGCAAAACAGAATTTTTGTTTTAACATTTTTGAAACGCTAACATTTTGAAATGCTAAATTTATTAAAACTCGGAATGTATCTTGAATAAGCTTGATGATTATAAATTTATAATAAATTTGTGGATATATAAACTTATGAAATGTTTGAAACAAGTAATATTTCCTTGGATACAGTGTATGTATCTTTTTGTGCGTACAAATTTACCGTACGTGTGTACAAGAAAATATTAAAAAGATAAAAAACTCCATATTGATGTACGTATTTTCAACGTTGCAGCTTGGATTGCTCGTTATTTTTAACGCTAGTATGGAAAAATTTTATCTCGGGTAGTAACTATTGTATAACGTATAGTACTACTGTGTATGGGAATTTCAAAAAGACGAAATGTTTGTTGCGTTTCTGAGCAATGATGGACATTTGCTATCGTGCCGATCGTGTTGCATTGCTCGTCATCGTTTGCAAAAGGAAACTGTTCCACAAATCAACTAATTGAACTGATTTTTGACTGAAGGAAACAGAATTTCTGATTCTTGAAAATCAAATTTGGCTTTAAGAACTAGAAATTCTTTTTTCTTCAACCAAAACATATTTGATTCCACATTGTCAGGTTAATTCAATCAAACTTTTTTCCCAATCTGTCATTATAAGCAATGCATATGTAATATGACATGGGTGAAGGATGTAATTTACCATTGTAATTCTTTCACACGCGTTTCAAAACCGTTAGAAAAGTTCTATATTTCTTGGAAAAATATTTCTTCTGCGCAAGTTTTATTTTTTACGTTCTAAACTCTCCATGCTTTCTTGAAACTTTTTCTACATTATAAGTATATCCTTTAGGATCGATTATTCCAATTTCTTGATAAGTTACCTAAAAATTAAATCATATGTCTGTCTTCGTTTTTCTTCAAATTGGACAGAGTCAGACACATGATTTAACTGTCAGGAAACTTATCAAGAAGTAAGCTATGATACTTCTTTGGTTAACGAATATTTATATTTTTAAGAAAAATTCTTTGCATGCGGGCATGAAATTCTAGCGTCACGCTGCACGATCACACATATCCATGTTACTAATTATATCACGAAAATTCTAGTGATCGGGCAATATCTCAACGCGATCTCTTTCGGAAATATATGAGAGCAGAAGGGAAAGGGGAGATCGTTCCATGACGATGCATCACCGCGCATCGCGCTGTTTTTATTTCCAATCGTCCTCCTCCGAAAACGCTCTATCCCCGTTTCCAGCTTCCTCCTTTT